GCAACAAATGCATCCTTGCCTCTGATTGATTCCCTCATAAAACCCAGCCTGTTTTAAAACAGTAGAGGGAATTTAGATGCTTCTAAATTCTATGCTTCTGGTGGCAACTTGTCAGAGTCATGGTGCAGACCTATTGGTTAGCTTGCGAAGCCCTAATCTCCCTAGCAGCCATTTTTAGTCTCGTCACGCAACGCTCCTCCCCACAAACTATTTGAAAACTGTTTGTTCACAAGCAGTTTGTGGGGAGGAGCGTTGCATGACGAGACTAAAAACGGCTGCGAGGGAGACTAGCGAAGCCCATGCTTTTTGTTTAAAAGCTGATTAGCACTAACCCAAGGTTAAATTTTAATCCATCTTTCTTTAATTACTTTGTTCAAAAGTCTGTTTGGGATAATTTTCTCAATTCTCTTTAGAGCATCCAATCAGAAGATTGTAGAAAAAAAATTTAGGCTGGATTTTGTTTTAAACATTTAATTCAGATCCGAAATCAAATTTCACACTTGATCCTGGGTTGTCTTAACCCAGTTTTGAACAGTCTGACCCTGGACCAAAAGCAGTCCCTCCTTTTTGATGAAGTCCAAAAAAAATAAAAATAAAATAAGAATGATGGCAATTAAGCACTGTGCAGAACTCCAGGAGTAAGGCCACTCCCACCGTCCCGTACAGCATGTTTACAATTTTTTTTTTTCACACATTTTTTTGAACTGGTGCAACAGAAGAACAAATTAAGGAACTACTCATAGTCCAGGAAGAAAAAGAAACTGGGGTTCCTTTTACCTTATCTTTTAATGCATGGCTCCAAGCATTCTTTGCAACTGGCACAAAGACAGATGATGTTAGAAAACAAAATCCATGCACGACATTTTGTAGCGATTTGGCCACATTCAGTGCTGTTAAGATTCTGTCAACGTGTTGCAGGGACAGAGGTGCCTCCATTGAGATGCCACCAGTCACCATTGACATTGTGGGCGGCCACAAACCAATGGAACCAGAGATAAAGATGGTATCTCTGACCTGCAGAATAGAGAGTGGGTGGTATAGAATTTCTCATTACACTCCTTAGTCTCAGATTGAGGTCATGAGGACAATAATAATAATAATAATAATAATAATAATAATAATAATTTAATATTTATATCATGCAAATCAACATGTGCATATGATCAAATGCACATCACAACACTTTTCGGGGGACTTTGGCCCGACTACATCAGCAGTTTACAAACAACCGAAGGAAACTTATTTGAAGATGCCCCCTCCCCCCCAATTCCCAGTAAACAGGCCAGACCACATCACAGTAATCTTGTGAGTGGGTTCTTTAATGTCCCCTGCCTAACCAAATTAATTAATTAATAGATGCAGGAGACAGGACCTACGGTTTATTTGAGAAGACTAGAATGTCTATCCACTTCTTGATATCATAGAAAGGGAGCGTATTCTCCTCAGTTATTTTAAGACCTTGAGTGTTGGTCTGGCTAGGGCTCGAACCATCGACCTCAACCTCCCGCACAACATTCCAGCGCTCTAACCATTGAGCTAACCATGAAACAAAGGAAATGTTTACTGAGTAAAGAGGCTCTTGATTGTTAAAAAATTGTTTTTGTCAGTACCATAAAAAAATGTATTAGAGAACAGTATAGAAAAAATGTATGTTGATGTCAGGGTGTAAGGGACAAAGCTAAGACATCAAGTCTACAGCAATCCAGAACAGTAGGGAACTATTATTAATAATAACCACCCAAATCACTAAAAAAAAATTTGCTGTCTTAAGCAACAGAAACATCAAAATACAACTCTGTGTAAATATTCATTTACTGCAATTCAGCATGATATTGAGATGCTTTTTGGAATTCTTATCCATTTCCTAGAATGTGCTAACAGCTGAACATTTCACGTGTTCCTCTTATACTCCAAGCAATATCTTTCAATGTAGAGCCAGGCATGTTACTAACCATTTTGCCAGCCATTGCATCTCCCATATGGCTGATATCAAACTATACAAATGAATAAAGGAGACAAGTTTCTTAAGAAACTGTGGTGCTGCGTCCATGGGGAATATAACAAGGTGACTTTGGTTAGATCAACTTAGTTGATGAATGAATGAAAATTGGCCACCCGATAAAGAGTTTTAAAGCTGACTTTGAAACTCTTTATGATGGCTAATTTAAATTATCAGCTCAGTTGATAAAACCCAAATTACCTTGATATTAGTTCAACATGCATAAATCCTACCTCATAGCTGTAATTATAGATTAATTACCTTTGTTGCCTGGCTGTAAGGTCCAATATTTGCTGGTGCCCAGTGAGAAATGCTCTGAACATGCATAGCTTCTCGCATAGAATTGCTAGCACCCTCAGCGGCATATACAAGGCAGTCAACTTGAATGGAGACATCTTCTGGTAAGTTAAGCTGAATACAAGCCCTATAAAATGGTAAATGGTCTGGAATTACCAGTACAATGAATCACTCCTGACCACAAATTGGTTCTAGCATTTCCCTTATCAGATTTAGCAAAAATCAACAAGTTACTGTCTTATCTTAGCAAAAGAATTCCCTTTCATTTAAAAATCTTACATGACCAGAAAAAACAAGCGTCCACAGAAAACTACTCTTTGCATTTGCTCACATGAGCACCATACACCCATGGGCAAGTGATGGATACTGAATTGACCAAACAGAACATGCACTTTATTTTGGTTATGTTAGAAAACCAAAGTAATCACAAAAGCCAAACAGAGCAAAGGAAATTATTCCACAGAGCCAATGAGATCTCAAAGTACAAACTAAAGGAAAAACAAGCAAACTGAAGTGCAGGGACATGTGACCAAGTCCTACTTAGATTAAGTTTTGATTTGGATTGGTTGGAAAATGGTGCAATTTTCTGGATCAATTGCAGAGCAGAGTAAAAAAAAAAAAAAAAAAAAAACCAAAAGCAATTCCAAATTGTTGTCAACACTCCAATGGAAATTCCTCCAAAAACGGGCATTTACATTTGGTCATATTCCTTTGTAAGACAATTGGATGGAAATTACCTAGCAGGCGGATTCACTGATAAAAAGCTTTTGTAAACAGAATTAACTTTGGCAAAGTCATCCATGTTCTTCACAAATAGATGAACCATCACTCCATCAGACAATGATGCCTTCAGACTTGTGAGTGTATCTAGAGAGGAGATGAATCGGCACTTCAATAACTATGCCATCACTTATGTTTATGATGCTAAATGCATAATTATGAGACTCTACGATTGACGGCTCTAGTAACTTATGTTTACGATGCTAAATGCACATCAGAGTCTACAGTTAACAGCTCTAGAAACATGACTTCAACAAGCTTTCCAAGCCATTAGCAAACATCCCCAGCTGTACCAGAGCTGGCTTAGCCACCTAATGATAAAATAATGTTGAAATGATCTGAGCTGCTCTGGGACACCCAGTTGCCCTCACCTTTAAGACTCTGGAACACTTTTCTTGTTACATCTTCAATTGCCAACTTTTTCCCTTCATTATCACAAGAGCCATATATTCCAGAAAGCCAAATGTAGTCACCACATCTGCTATAGAGGATTCTACCTGATGAAGATATTGAGACAGTTGTATAATAGCTGTTCAACCCTTCAAATTCCCAGATCTGGTTGTAAATTCTCCCCTCTAGCTGCTACACATCTCTTTGTAAATTAGTTACAAGAATTTGGTGTCAGGTAAAGATGAGAACATCAATCTGATAAGTTTGTCTGAGTATTCTCAGAACCTGTTTGCAGGATAATTTATGAATATTAAAGGGTGAAGTTAGATGTTGACCATCTCTGGGAATTAAAGGGTTAACTTGAAACAGTTAAAATGTAAATGATGGGGTGCATGAAAGAAAGCTCTGCATGCATTCTGATAGACTGTTACATTCTCCTTCCAAATTGGCATGTACCATATTTTAATGTGCAACCCATGGAGTTAATGATGCACCAAAAGTCACCTCTTAACAGCCCTCTGTCAGTGCATATAATTTTTTATTCTCCACACCATTCCCTATACCTTTCCAAAGCTAGGGCGGATCCAGGATTTAGTCAAAGAAGGTTCAGGGAATTATCTTAGGGCATGCTGCCCTGGGAGATTTTGAAAATGAGGTTTTTGGAAACATGATTCCCAGCACTTTGAGGGACAATTTAGGGAGTTCAACCGAACCACCCAAACCACCCCTGGATCCCCCTCAGTTATGGTATTACTGACAAGAAAAACTTGTTTAACAATCAAGAGCTTCCTAATAGTTGGTGATCATTTCCTTTGTTCTTGTGACCTTTTTATCTGAGTCAAAGGTGATAATGTAAGGGGAGATTACTTACATTTGAAGTCACTCATAGGGGTTGAATAGTTAAACATCTATTCTAGGCACCCCTTCAAATGTACTCTGCAACTGCAGGTAAACTACAGGGACGCACTTGTGCTGTGTGGTCTTCGCACTCTCTCTGATTGGCGTGCCGCTGCATGCACGAAGTTTATCCAGAGAGTTCGGGACACTGGTGTCTTTGCTAACTTGCTGCCACATCGCACAACTGTGTCCCGTGGATACAATCTACGCTCAGACACTCTTAGAGATGATCCTGCTATGGCTTTTACTAACCGTCTCGATAAATTTATTACATATACATGTTCTTAGTTAAATGTTTCATGTTATTGTATAGATATGATTTGTATCCTGACCACTCTTGTAATTTAGCTGTAAGCTACAAAAAGAGTAATTAAACTGATTATTATTATTATTATTACTATTATTATTATTATTATAACCTAGCATGTGAGCTTGTAATCAAAGAACTGATATATTCTACCTCGAAGTTCTTTCCCTAACTCTGGTTGAATCTTGGGAATTTTTATATTCAGTGGCCTCTCCGCAATTCCCTTTTCTTTTATATCTGTTGTGTTGTCTGGCTAACAGAAATAATGATACCAATCAGAGAATTACAACGATAGTTACAAATTGAAAGATTTAGGAAAGGAGCACTAAGAAATGACTCTAAGTTGTTGCACAATTAGCACCTCACATTTGCACATGTAATTATCACATCACCATCTACACACAGGCCTATATAAATCTGTTGACAGGCCTCATTAAATACTCACTCTGAACAACAAAAGTAATAGTCAACACTGTTGACATCATTAAATTAAAGTAACTATTTATACCCTTAAAAACATCATAGAGTGAGCTCATAAAAAAAAGGTTAAATCTGTTTATGAGCCAAGTGGCCCATTAGCAACTGTGGAAAGGGTGGGAGCCACCCACTGACAAAGCATTTTTTCGTTTGTTTATTTGCCTCTTCCATTTGCTAAAGATAACTGTTTGGAAAAGGAAGTTGAAAAAGTCCTACCAGTATTTGCAACTTGTCAAATAATTCCTCACATTTGTGGTTTTTTAGCCCCAACTCCGAATTAACCTGGAAAGATGGAAAGAATTAAAACCAATTTGAGAGGTGTGGTACTGGTGACTAGATCCAGGACCTTCTCAGCATGCATGTCAACAACAGCAGAATACAACATGGTGGTTTTACATTGAATGCGTCTCCATTACTTTGTGTTACAAATACTACAAAAGGGTGCTCAATCATTGTGTGAAATTTCTGCTGCAATAGACTGCTCATGATCTGCTTTGATTGCTACTATGCATCTTTTATTTCAGCATTTTAAAAAAGAAATGTTAGAACAGAGGAATTGTGTAAAGTAAGAAGAGAACATTTTCTAAGTCTAATTCAAACATCGTTCTAGAATTAGAATTAGAGAATTCTCTAAGCTCCTTTGGTTGATGAATATCTCGCTCTGTATTAATCATTTCCTTTACTTTTAAAAACTAAAATTTAAAGTTAATTCACTGAAAAATAACTATTGAGAAAACACCATCTAGTGGATAACTCCATCCATTCTCAACACTTGTTTGCTGAAAAATGTATGAGTGTTGTTAAGAGAAGTTGCATGTTTATCAGAAAGAGGAGTTAAAGGGTTAACTAGCTGATACCTTATCAATGTCTTTATCCTCTACATGAATTTTCTTGAAGCACAGGAAGCCCACAGGAGCAAAGGCATCATCTGAATGAATGACACTTTCACTTTCTTCTCTGGTAAGCAAATAACAAAAAAATAACAATTCACGCAACGACATAGGATTCCTGTTGAAGCCAAAAAGACAGTGTGGTATCCATTCTTCCCAATATTGTAAGTTTTTCAACCAAATGCAAACTATATATATTAATTTCATTCACCAACCAGTTTCAGAAGAATTTTTAATTAATTTTTATTATAATGAACTCCACCTTTTTTTGCACTTGGTAAGTATTCAAAAATCCAATGTTCAGGGAAAGAGGTAGCATCTATAGAGAAACACCACCTTGTGCCTCAGGAAAACGGAGGTTGATAAGTTCATATAAGGGACTGCCAATACACCTTCCTCATTGTAGGGTTAAATTAATATACACTCAAGGATTATAACTTACATCACTATTCTCTTCTTAAACAAAGGACAATCCAGAGTAAAGGTTTCATATTCTCCTCCTTCTCCACAAACATTTGAACCATACTTGTCTTTCTAGTATAATTGTAAAAAATATAATAAACAGAGGATATTACTGGCCGCACACGAATACATGATGAATTCTCAGTAATACTACACAGTCCAAAACATCTAATAGCTAAGGATATAATTTTATAAAGTACATGGCAAGCCTTATACATTATGTTCTAAATTCATTTGATGATTGTTTTGCTCACCAGGTTACACATTAGAGAATACACATCTGCTATGGGCAGTCCCAAATGCCTCTTTGGACTTAGATCTATAAACAGCCATTAAAAAAACAACATGTAAATAAAGAAGGACTGGTGAAAAAAATAACGAGGTTAATAAAGATCTGAAATTTTTAATAGGAATTGCAGTTAGCTTCTTGCATAGTTGGGAATCCATGTTTGGCTGTGATGAAAAAACTAGGAAACAAGTTTGTCAAACATTTTAGGTAATTAACCCAGGCTTTAATTCCTAAGAGTGAGCAAGACAGAATTTCTCCTTACAATATCAATACAATATCAAGCAGACATGTGATGAGAATAAAGAAAAATATGAATTAGGGGATTATTAGTTGATCTAATACCAAATTCCCAACACTTGCATTATAAGATTTGTATAGCAGACAGCAAGGAGAATTACCAACAAGATCTTGGGAGTGACAGGGTTAAATTAAGGGGAAAATGTGGTTCCATCATTAATCCTCATTTTTAAAGTTTCTTTGAATAGTTTTCAGCCAAGAGGTATAAATTTTGTTTAAACATATCTTCTCATTCAAGGTGACTCTGAGATGAATGAACAGTTTTCTTGTTCTCAGCTTATTTCAAAGGCCAAATGCAGTGCAATATTTTTTTTTCCTGTTCTTTATACAAAATAACCTGTGTTCACTCAGCTACAGAGACATGAATGAAAATTACAGACAAGTGTGTATACCCATTGCAGCCACTTTTATCAAAATGGCTTCAACTCCAGAGGAAATCATTTCACCGAGCAATTCTGTTTGATCTCGTCGCCAAAGATAAGCCAGTGAAGATAATCCCAATCTGGAGCAGCTAAATATGAAACAATAAAACAACTTGCTAATTCTAAAATTATGGTTACTGGTAATTATAAATTCACAAGTTGTAAAGCTAAGATAGGGATCATCATCTTGGTGAAGTTTAACTCCCAGAAGTGATTAACATGTAACTTCTCTCTATAATATCCAAACATTACCCTGCAAACAGGCAATGAGAATACACAAACTTATCATGTAGAATTTGTTATCTTCATTTAACACCAAATTCTTGACACCAATTTACAAGGAAATGTGTAGCATCTGGAGGGGAGAACTAGAAATCAGATCTTGGAGTTAAGGGTTTACTTAAACTGACTCGCAAGACAAAGAATCCTTACTTTCGTTTACAATACAAACACATTCAATAATTCCTTTTATTTCAATACATAAAACCCATTATAACCCATTAATTTTGGTGTGATTTTATTGGTTACTTTATGTCACGTGGAGCAAAATCACAGGACAGTTATCACGCAATAACCCCCGTCCGCGTCGATATTGGTCCTTCGATTATTTCCACGAAAAAGAAACATAGTCAACACAAGAGTTTCATCTTTTCTGTTCTCCTATTTACCTGGAAGGAAACCAAACTCATTTTTTTTTTTGCTTGCTCGCGTCAATCACGCGCATTCACCATCAGATCACCACTGGCTTTTTTACTGTGTTTACCCACAGTTTAATTGCGATTTGAAAATTAACAGGAGGGTTATAAAATAAATAAACCCCGTTCTGGCTTGCTGGTATGTCGGCTGATAATGTCCTTGGCTGAGAGATTGTCCTCAAAATTTCATATTTCCCCTCGAAGCTTCGCTTCTCGGCCAAATATTCATTTTTTGGACAATCTCTCCGCTGCGGACATCATCAGCCAACATACCAACCGCCAGAAGGGGTTTATTTACTAAATATTCAGACAAGCGTAACATTTCTGATATAGTGTACAAAGTTGTGAGGCAATCAAAACTCCTGTGACTACCAGAGTGTGAATCTCAGTATTTGATTGGCTAAGACAGGAAACAAACCCTGGAATTTATTGGGTTCAAAATGTGAACAAACGAAACTGAAGGTTACCCCTACTAAATGGGAAAAGTATCTGATGGAGAATTTTTCAAGTGCTTCTGAAAACCAATGTACAAATGAGATAAAAATAAAAATGTAATAAGTCGTCTTACACATGTTCCACTCTAACTCGTTGATAATCAGACAAAATAGCTCCAGTTGACACTGCATCAAATTCAATTTTCTCCTGAAAGAAACAAATTAAGGTACATGTACAGTCAGAGAATGCCAAGCATATTTGGACCACAAAAGAGCCACCTATACAGGGAATAAATGAGATAACTGACAAAAGCCATGACTTAGATAACATGGGTGGAGGCGCGGTGGCCTCATGGTTAGTACGCTTGACTCCGGATTGAGTGGTCCAGGTTTGAGCCCTGGCCGGGGACCCTGTGACAGACTAGCACCCCATCCAGGGGGGAGTAGAAATACTCCCAGTCGCTTCATGTTACGGAAAGCAGAGCTAAGCACCAGCATGACAGGCTACTTGGTTCTTAAACAGATTTTTATATAACATGTGAACTGAAACACACACACATGGATCATATGAGGCATTAGGTGTATGTTGAAATGGTTTGTATCTTATTTTGCTACTTATGTTAATCCTTTCAAACCTGAGATCTCATTCGTAATTCTCCTTACTGTCTGCCATACAATTCTTATGATGTAAGTTCTAAGAATTTGGTACTGGATCAACTAATAATCCCCTTATTGATGCTTCTCTTTATTCTCATCACTTGTCTGCTTGATATTTATTAATATTGTAAGGAGAAATTCTGTCTTGATCATTCATGGAAGTCAAAGGGTTTAAATGCTCCATTTGCCCTGTAAGTTTGTGTCCTATAAAGCCATGGCATATTTCCCAATCATGCTCAAGCAAAAATGATACAAATTGACAGCACAAAAATACCTTTATATTCTTAAGAAGTTTATACAGGTCTTCAACTTCATCTCCTTGACTTTCTGTGTACACTTTTCCTTGATCCACTGAAGATCCCTCTATTGTTCCTCGATAGAGAGGCAAGTCCATGGCTTGTGCATACAGGTCTATCGCATTGTGACCCACAGTCTGGTACATGTAGCTGTCCAGTTCATCCGCTGGTGTAATTTAACAGTTACAAAATAGGATTGCATAATTGAATAAAATATTAAGGTTGGAATTGAAAGTTGAGAATGAGGCTAAGTGATATTGTTTTGCATCTCTTGTTTTGTGCTCAGGATAAAAGCAAACAACAAAATTCAATTATTCAATTATGCGATTCAAGGAAAGTCTATTACCTGACTCGTGAATTCTGCATTAATTGCACTTGAAAACTGATATCAGTTTTCACATGTAATTTAATGCTGAATTCCCTCATCTGGCAATGGATTTTCCTATCCAATATCAGGTGGACTGGTAGAATGAGAAGCATGTAGGACTTCAACTCCAGTGCTCCTGATAGGAGCCCAGGACTCTGGGATTGAGCCTCGCCTCGGTCATGGTATTGGGGTCCTGGGTAAGACACTCTACTCTCACAGTGCCTCTCGTCACCCAGGGGTACATTTTCATACCAACAAACTGACAGGGAAACCTAAGGAGGGGAGGGGAGGGGAGGGGAGGGGTGGTTATCAGAGATTGAATGATATCTCATCCTGAGCAAGTAGCTAAAATCCTAGTCACTTCATGCTACCAAAATTAATTGAAAAGTCTGGCTAGAATAGGCTATATACAGCTTCCCTACCATCCCAAGTATTTTTTTGATGCTAGGGAGGGTGGGGGGCAGCTGTACCTACGACTGGATGGATAACTAGACAGTTTTCAAATTGTTAGGTCACTCTAGAATCTCAAAACGCATCTACATGCATAATTTTATATACAGTTTGTTGTGACGGAGTGAAAAATAAAATGGTGTCTGGAGCAAAGCTCTTCTTCATAACAATCCCCTACCACTGTAGATGTATATTCACACATACCATCTCCTCTTGGCTTTAGATTAGCAAGTGCAATGATAGTGTGACCTTGTTGAACGCACTGCATCATGTTGTAACAGCTGTCCTTTCCTCCGCTAGAAAGAAGAAATCAAAGCAGCCGTGATTCTCTGGCGCACGTGCGTTTCAAACAACAACAAATGTTACGATCTACAGTACAGTGTGTAGCTATTTACCCTCAGAAGAAGTCAGTTACCTGATTAAAGCAACAACCCTCATCATTACAGGAAAAAGATCTCGTCGACAATCTCTGATAACGTGTACTGACTATTCCATTGTTAAACCAGGCTGTTTTTCCTTTGCTACCGGCTCGAATCTGCCGCCATTTTGTACGCACAATAACTCAGCGGATGCCGCATGAATATATGCGTGAATTGCACGCATCTATAGTGCGCAGTATGTTGTTGTTTCGCGCTATCTCTTCCCGCCATATTTGAATCCGAATTGGATAGACGACAAATTTAGCATTCTTTTTCTCGTTGTTTACATCGGTGGTGGTTGAAAATCCAAGCGTGATGGATGATCAAAACGGATCTATAATAACTGAGGATGAAGCTGCCTTGTATGACAGGCAAATACGGCTTTGGGGCCTGGATGCTCAGAAACGGTAGGTTTCCTAACAGCTGTTGTCTGTTTTTTCTTCGAGTCGAACCTTTATTTGTAGTAGAAATTTGAAATGTTTCGCCATTGGATCTGTGCGAGTTCGAAATCAGAGAAGAAATCTTATTTGCTCGATTGAGCAGCAAGTGAACCCTCTTTTATACTATTTTGTCTTATGTTGTGGAATTTTTCGTTTCAGGCTGAGAGCTTCACGTGTTTTGCTCGTTGGCATGCGCGGTATTGGAGCCGAAATATGTAAGAATCTTGTGCTTTCAGGTGTGAAGTCCTTGACAATAGGTGATTCCAATCCTGTAAACGAACAGGATTTTTTGTCACAGTTTCTGGTGCAGAGACAGGATTTAGGAAAGAACGTGAGTCTTGTCATGTCTGTATATTTCTTTTTTATCATAGGTTACGTGATGTGCTTTTTCCGACAAAGGTAGTTGTCTTATTATGAAAGATATGTGGTATATTTGTCTTTGACAGTGTCTGACATCTCAATAACCTGAGTGGAAGATGATTTCTGCTTAGCCACTGCCAGTAAAAACGTCCCAATTCAGGGCCGTCCTTATATTAAGCAGGCTTCACACCTGGCAAATTTGTATGCTGATCCTGGCGATCAGCGAAAATTTCCAGGTGTGCCTGGTGCAGCAAATGCAATTTACACTGATTGCTACAATCAGCATATAAAATTGCCAATATCTGACATGCCAGATTTCTGTTATTTTAAACGCTGATTGCAGTCATCCAATTTGCCACCATTAGACAATAAAATTGCCAGGTATGTCACCAGCTTAAAGTGGACATCCAGACCACACAATGAAATTTAATTCCTGGGTTAGAGCCATGTACTTTTTGCAATGTGAAGTAAAAAACCCCAAGTTTCTCAAACCAATTTTAAGAATACCAATGGTTTTAGATAATGCAACTCCTTCCTTGATTTTAATCTAGCGTGCGGAGTCTTCCCTCCAGAGGGCCCAGCAACTCAACCCTATGGTACAAGTAAAGGCTGACAGTGAGGATATTTCCAAGAAAAGTGATGAGTTTTATAGAGATTTTGATTTAGTTGTAGCCACAGACTGTTCTGCAGATCAGCTGGTAAGTAATTTCTGCATGGAACACTCCACTCTTAGTCTTACTAGTAGACAAAATACTATCACAAGGGCTGCAATCTGATTAGCTACTGCACTGCTTGCAATTTTTTACACTTTTCATGGCTAGTGAGTAAAATAAGAAGTTTGGCAGTGTACTGTTTTAAACAAAATGAAATACTAACTTTTGTACGAGTAGCAGATTTACAATAAAGTAATTTTTTAATTGATATTGGCTTTCTCCTCATAAACTATCGCATCTTTAAATTAGCTGAATTATACAAGCAATTTGATTGGTTCTTATGTGTGATCTATCAGAGGAAAGACTTGTAGGTGAAGTCATAATTACCAAATTTTAGTTTCTTTATTATATAAAAGAAATAGATTCCATGTTGGCATGGGTCTGTTCAATAATACATCACCAAGGACATAAAAATGTGATAAGGACATCACTGACTCACTCAGCTGCACCTTGTGTGTCAATTTTTTTGTTCTTACCTCATTTTGACCTGGTCTCTGATCTTTTACCGAACTGCCGCACAGTAATATGGAATCTATTTGTTGAATATTTAACAATTATTCCACAA